AGCAACGTAGACATGCAATTCACACTTAGCAGCGTTGGATCACATAGGAGAAATGAAAATCAAGGAATAGAGGTTACCTCCCTTGCAATTGGGCCGCCCAATGAAGTGAACTCACTTATTTATCCTCCAAAATAAAAGAAATGGTCAAGGTACCAATTTATTTGGGAAAAATTAAAGAAATGTGCAAAACGAAGCTCGCTTGATCGTAAAGTCCCTAAAGTCATGATTTAAGCGCAATTGAAACAAAGCATGGTAGTCAATTGAAGCAAACAAACAATGAAGTTGCACAAATTAAAATTACAAGGACCAAATTGATGAAATTATTTAATTGATTGGTGTCCTAGTGGAACAAAGAGAGACTTAGGGGGCACAGTGCAATTTTCAGAATTATTTCATGCAAGCTACGTAGAAACAGAATTTTCTGCAATGAATTCAAATGAATAAACTGCTGCACATTTTATAACTTCAGCAAATTTCTTTCCTTGTAACCATGTTCATGCCAATTCTTTATTCAAACCAAACACATTCATGCAAGAAGGAACATGCTGGAATTATTGTCTAATAAAATCAGCAAAACTTGGAACCGAAATGGAAGAAAGCAACAAGACAAGGCCGTGAGTTTCTGGTTCAGCAAACTGCAATGCATTTTCCAGGATCATACAATCCAAATCATGCACAAGAGGAAAATCTGAAGGTACGTATTGCAACATTCACAAATTTCTGGATTTCATTTATCAGTAAACACTCCACTAATAAATCATCGATCATTTCAGCCTACAACGAGTCTGTCAAACCCCCAAGCCAGCAGAATTTGAGACTTACGCCTCCTATTGCCTAAAACTTAACAATCAGAATTTCGCCAACCCCACAAAACAGCAAACAAACGAGACATTAAGACAGCAACCATGATAAAAATCAAAGAGTCAAATGAAATATCACAAGATTCGTGCCTTTTGACTCGAGTTCTCATGAATACAGCGTTAAAACAAGAAAGGGAGAAGCAAAACGATCACCTGAATTGCTGGGGCCGAAGCAAGAGTTTCTGCTGCGCTCTCGTTCGAAGTCGAAGCTGGTGCGGCAGGGTCAGGGCAGCTCTTTCACGGACAGATTCGGTGATCTTGCAGTTGTTTTTTCTTCAAGATTTTTGAATAAAAATCGTTCCTTTCACTTTGTAGCTTGAGCAGATCCTGAAATTTTCTTAAAAGAATCTCAGATGGAAGAGGTATTCACGTTCAAAGTCGGCTGAAAGCCAGCCTTTTCTAAAATTCTGCAGCTTTTCTTTTCCCAGCTCACGGCTTCTCTTGTTTCTCTCTTTGCTTCACCCTTGCCCGAAGCCTTTCTTCCAAAACCAGAAAAACTCCTTCTTTCTCTCCATCCTTCTTTTCTTACTCTCAGTCCAAACCCAGCTCTCTATCCGCCTACCTCTCTTTCTTTTTACGTTTTTCTAGCCGTCAAACTTGCTCTATCCCTGTTGTTTCTCACCCCAGCTCTCCTTGCGGCTACTGCCCCAAACTCTCACTTTATCCCCTTTTCAGCCACTACAGAAAGCTGCGTTCTTTTCTTCTCAGACCCAGTCACTCATCTCTCTCCACCAGCCGTCAAGTTTTCTCCCTCTGCCCCTTAGTTCTTTCTCGGTCACTCTCCGCTTTCTCTGTTTGATAGCTCTCTCCTTTTCCAATTTTTGCCGCCGTCCACTCTTTCTCACTCCCCCAAAGAACCTCTCTTCCCCTTAACTCTCTCTCGGTTCTCTCTTGCTCTTTCTTTTCTTCCCGTTGGCTCCTCTCTATAGCCGTTCCCTTTGGTTCAGATTTTTCTCTCCATGGGTTTCTCTTTTTTGCGGCTGTCTTGCCTTTGCTATTTATACCAGCATCTCCAACCCTAAAACCCCAGCCATCTCTCCTATATTTGCAGCTAAGGGACTGCCCAGGTCCTCTCTTGCAAGCTCGAAATACGCAGCTTGCTGTGGCGTGTTCCTTTTTTTTTTTTTTTTTTTTTTGTAAAAGTATAATATAAATATAGATAACCAATTACCTACTACTAATAATAATAATAAATAAAAAATAAACGCAGAAATGCTAACGAAATGCTAATTTTCTTTCTTTTTCTTTATTTTTCTTTTTCCCTTCTTTTTTCAAGAAAACATTGAAATTAAATCCCAAACAACTGAACATATTTTTGAATGCTTTTCTTTCTTTTTTTTCTTTTTTTTCGAGAAATTTTATGCTGAAACTTAAAAGTAAAAATAAAAACTAAAAAACTAACACTAATAAGTGAATAAAACTAAAACGACAAATAAAAAACTAAATGCTAAAAATTGGTGTCTACAAGAACAACCCTAGCAGCCTTAATCGTATTGTAATTAGGCAACAAAATGAGACAAAGAAGTAGACACCAAATACTTACCTGTGTTATTCGGTGGTGAACGTCTCGGATGATGAATGCTTTTAGAAATGGGGACTGACCCCTTTTGACAAAATTTTAAAATGGGATTGACCCAGACAAAAAATTGAAAATGCGGGACTGGCCCGAACAGAACTTAAACGGGACTGACCCGAACAGGAATTTAAACAGGACTGACCCGAACAGGAATTTAAACGGGACTGACCCGAACAGAATTTAAACGGGACTGACCCGAACAGGAATTTAAACGGGACTGACCCGAACAGGAATTTAAACGGGACTGACCCGAACAGAATTTAAATGGGACTGACCCGAACAGAAATTTAAACGGGGCTGACCTGAATAAAATGAAAATCATGGGACGCACGCTAGTGGGATTGACCCAACGGCTAGCGGCGGTACAAAATGAAATGCCCACTGGCGGGACTCACCTTACGCTCCAGTGGCTGTAAAAATGAAAAGCTCACCGGCGGGACAAACCACACGCTCCAGTGGCTATGAAAAAAGAAATGCTCACTGGCGGGATAAACCTCAGCTCCAGTGGCAATGAAAATGTAATGCTTACTGGCGGGATAAACCCAGCTCCAGTAGCAATAAAAATAAAATGTTGGTATGTTTGAAAAAGCTGTATAAGACTTGCTTGGAAAATTATCCAAAGATTTGCCCCAGTGTAATGAAGCGGTCAGCGGGATAGAACCCAGTTCTGCCGAGGTCGGAGGGATAAAACCCGTGCTCAACGAAAATAAAAGCGGTCAGTGGGATAAACCCGAGCCTGCGAGTCGGAGGGATAAAACCCGTGCCCAACGAAAATAAAAGCGGTCAGTGGGATAAAACCCGAGCCTGCCGTGGTCGGAGGGATAAAACCCGTGCCCAACGAAAATAAAAGCGGTCAGTGGGATAAACCCGAGCCTGCCGAGGTCGGAGGGATAAAACCCATGCCCAACGAAAATAAAAGCGGTCAGTGGGATAAAACCCGAACCTGCCGAGATTGGCGAGATAAAACCCGGTCCCAATGTGATCTTTGAGATGTTGGCGGTATGAAATCCAGGCCCAACGAGATCTTTGTGACGTTAGCGGCACTAAGTCCAGGCCCAACTTGATCTTTGAGATGTTGGCGGCATGAAATCCAAGCCCAACGGGATGTTTGGAATGTTGGCGGCACAAAATCCAAGCCCAACGTGATCTTGTGAAGTTGGCGGCACGAAGTCCAGGCCCAACGGGATCTTTGGAATGTTGGCGGCACGAAATCCAGGCCCAACGTGATCTTGTGAAGTTGGCGGCACGAAGTCCAGGCCCAACGGGATCTTTGGAATGTTGGCGGCACGAAATCCAGGCCCAACGTGATCTTGTGAAGTTGGCGGCACGAAGTCCAGACCCAACGGGATCTTTGGAATGTTGGCGGCACGAAATCCAAGCCCAACGTCATTTTTGTGAAGTTGGCGGCACTAAATCCAGGCCCAACGTGATAAAGTGATGATGGTGGCACTAAATCCAAGCCAACGTCATTTTTGTGAAGTTGGCGGCACAAAATCCAGGCCCAACGGGATGATCTTTGGAATGTTGGCGGCACGAAATTCAGGCCCAACGTGATGATGTTGGCGGCACGAAATCCAGGCCCAACGTGATGATGGAATATTGGCGGCACGAAGTCCAGGCCCAACGGGATTTGGTGAATGGTCAGTGGGATAAGACCCAGTCCTGTCATCCAATTGGTCAAGAAATTGGATTTGATCTGTCAAGATACAAGAAATTAAATTTGATTTTCCAAGAAACAAAAATTTGAACTTGATTTTTGATTTTTGACTTTTGAATTTTTCTGATTTTTCAAGAGAATCTTTTCCAAAATAATTTGCCCCAGTGTAGGGCACTTTTCCCTTCTTTCTTCTTGCTTCTCTTTGCAGTATCGGCCTTCCGCCTCACTGGATTTCATTTAACTCATAGATTTCAGCTTTGATTAATGAAAGAGGGAAATCATCCCACTAGATAGTTCCACATTCCAAACCAAGAGAGAGTTTTACTAAAACATAGGTAGGCAAATTTCAACTTCTAAAACATGGAAGATTTTACATTTTTAAAAGGTTTTACAAAACATCCTGAGCTTGTCTAACAAATTGCCAAAATCAGAAAAATTCACCTCATCAAAATTCATTTTCTGAACAATAATTCAATCTTGAATGATTAAAATTCATCTAGGTAAATTTTGAATGATTAAAATTCATCTAAGGCAAATGCTACTTTTTAATGATTAAAAAAATGTTACACCCAAATTCAAATTTGAATGATTAAAATTCATCTCGGTAAAATGCTAGTTTTTTTTTTATGTAAAATAATTTACCCTATGAAAACCTTGTCAAGGCCTATCAGCTGCACCCATTCGGCTATTCCCTCTAATTTTGTGTACCTGAGTTCTCCCTACACTTCTTTCTTTAGATTTTTTGATACTGATTGTACAAAATGATTAAATGAGTGACCTTGAAAATTAAACAACTTTAATTCGCTCCTCGGTCTAAAGTTACGAATTGATAAATAAGTAGTCCTATTAATTGCCGCACCCATGCAACAAATTTTGCCCGGTGATGTCTGCTAATCTGTAGAACACATTTTCTAAAAACAAGAATTTTTTTTTTTTGGCTATATCTAATTAACAACAGATAAATTACATGAGAAGAAAGAATGCAACATGCAATACAAAAAAAAAAAAAAAAAAGGTCTAAGGCAAAAGAATTTACCTAGTTTTGAGATTGACAAGACAAATCAAAAGAAAATCCCCTCCCCACAAAGAAAAATAAGAAAAGGTGAAACAAGACAGAAGGACAACCAAGCAGGATACGCCCCTAATGCAGCCTAGTTAGCTCTTCCACTCTTTTCATAAGTTCCTCCACTGGAACAGTCATTGCCTTCGAAATCTCCTCCATCCTATTTCGACTAAGATCAAGGAATGATTCTATAAGATCTCCATCCAAGAAATTTTTTGATTCCACCGTTTTCTTCTCATTGCAGAATGATCTCCACTGTTCATGACTCAAACCTCCCACACCCTTTATCACCTTCCTCAAGGTTGCCTGCAGCTTCTCCAGGAAGGTGTACTGCTCAAGAGGAAGAGACGCGATTACGCCAATAACACCATTAACTGTCCCAAAAATGACCGTCGGAATCTGCCCAACATCAGAATCTGGCAATCGCATGACAAGAGAACCATGACGGAACCGATTGACAAATTCACCCAGGTGGTATTCACCAGCCACCTCAAGACGACCACGCTCCTCATCAGTAGCGCCTTCACTATTTTTCCGCACAGTGAAGAGATTGAAGTTGTTCTCTGCACCTAGGTAGATGTCATCATCAAGAATCTCAACTGCTGACATCCAGTTCGCGTTATAGTCACGAGCTCGCTCCTCAATAGCACCCTCCTCATGCTAAAATGTGGAACCAAATCAAGAACATCGTCATTATAGAACTATATAAAATCCACTAGAGAGTCAAACAACATGTAACTGAACACCCATGTGGGATAGACAAATATTCACCAAAAAGGCCTTTAACAGGACACTTCTCTCACCTTGTAAATTAACAGTGAGATTGATTTCATCAGATCACCTACGACAATAAAATCTCCACGAGTTTGTACATAAAGGGCAAGGATGTGACCATGATGTCCACATTCCGACTGCAGTTCATGGGTACCATCATCTCGAAGCATCCATTTATACAACTGTATCTTCTGATTAATAGCAGCAAGCAGTTTCCCATTAAAAGCATTCAGGGAGTACACAGCTCCCTTAGTCTCTTTCTCAGCAATTAGCTGGAGTTTTCCATCTTCAACAATGAAGACAAGGATCCGGCCCTGCAATGATTCAAAAAAGAAACATAGCACGAGATCAAATATCAAAAAATCAGGAGGCGGAAAAAAACTTTTTTAACTGTAAGCGACAGACTAGTAATGGAAAATCAAATCCCTCACTAAAACACATTGAAACTCTAACAATCATGAAAGCATAAGAAGGCAAAACGATGCTTTGATTTCTGATCAAGATCTTGGTTTTCAAATACAAATCAATAGAAACCTTGTATAGGCACTGGTTTCACAGAAAACCCTAAAGTTCCACAAAAAGAACTCAAAAAGGAAAAAATTTCAATCAATCATGAAAATCTTGACTTAGAAATCACTGGTTAATACCAATATTTAGAAGCCAAACCAAAACTAGAGTTCTAATTAAGTAAAAAAAAGAAAAAAAAACATTGTGCTGAGTAACTAAACCAAGTAGAAATTAAACTACGCCAAAATCTCAAACTTAGAAAGAGAATAAAAAACAACCAGCACCATCTGGCGGAAAACGACGAGCTATTTCACTATGTGAAATGAAACTCAAACCTTCGCCACATGAAGGCAATAAAAAACTAACAGGGAAAAAAGAGAAGAACAAATAGGTTGATGCAGAGAACTAACCTTGGTTGGTTCATTCTCCTCTGGCATTACATATGCAGTGCCAACGCAATAGTAAACATTGCTATCATCAGAAAAGGAGCAGCTAAGTATTGAACAAGCATACTCATACTGGTCAAGTGGATAAGAAGATATAAACTCAAAAGTTTGGTCATCTATCAAGCGTACAAAATGCATTTCTGCATCTTCTGTACTTGACTGATTGTACTTTAAACTACATATAGCAAAGGTCCTGGTCTGCTCCTGATGACATATGCGACGAGCATGCTCTCCAAGTTGGATGGTGCGAATGTGAAGTTTTTGAATGTCATCTATAGTACCAATTGTTAGCTCACCTTCTCTTGCAATTGCAAGACTGTTACACAAAAGACTGAGTCAATGAAATTCTTAATTGGACAAAATGATAGATAGTCTTTCACCAAAATAGAAAAATTATTTCCGATCGCTAAAAGAACTTCATGGTGCACCACAGCAGGAATGGAAATTTTAGTTCATTGAAAAGAACTAATAAGTCTCTGTAAAATCACATTATATAATTAAAACATATGTCTCAATATAGGGATACACAATAAGCATATCACTAAAGAACACCAAGTTTCAATTAACCGCAAGTTTATCTTAAGTGCATGCAGTATATAAAATAAAATAAAGTAAAAGAGAAATTGAAATCGACGATCCTCCAAAATACAGAACAATATTCATCAGAAAAGGTACAGAAAACTGTAAGCAACATCTTTCCAACTTTAATAGCCCATAAAACCAACAGAGAATCCATAGTTCATTGTCTCCCCAGATGGATACTCTCTTGTTCCTAAGAAGTCTCAGTCCTTCCCACGACGATTCATACACAAGCATTAAAAATGTCTTATTCAAATAAGCCCTCTTCAGTATGAATGGAAGATCTTAAAAAGCTGAACACACTTAGTACTAAAATAAAAAATAGGCAGCATTCTTCATTGAAATATCTATACTATTTGCCCAACCAGATTTACATCCCTGAGAACCTGCCCTAACATACCCCACCCATCCCTTTCAAAATAGTGTAAAACTGATCTACGAGACTACCAAGACCTGATTCCTACTTCTAACTGAATATCGAAATAACAAGAACATTAACAAGCAATTTATTAATCAATTTAAAAAATTTGCACATTAGGTGGCCACATACATGCCAATTGGCAACAAAACATTTTCACGACAGAGATGAAATATTCAAACACAAACCTGTCAGGAAAAGCTGCAGAGTTGAAAGGACACATGTAACTGACTTCCCTTAGGTTCACATTGCTGTACAATAGTTTCTTGTTGCTGCTGTAAATTACAGTTGGCCTATCAGAAGCAGCAAAGACATGTGTTGCATTCTTTGATGAGAAAGTGCGAAGTGTTATGGGTTGCGTTCCAAGAGAGACCTTTTTCCGATCTGTTAACTCGCCAGTATTCATGTTCAGGACAAAATTTAACAGATGACCATCTCCAAGGGCACATAGCAAGTAAGATACCTAAATGACACCAACAAAAGCTACTTTAAACAGATACAGGGGAAAAATGAATTAATAAATAGTTACTGACACAGAATAATGCAGCTACAATTTTAAGTATGGCAAACTATTGCATAATTAAGCAAGGATTCAATTACAATGCCACATCACACATAATGGAACATCGTATTAGTTCATACTTTGTCAAAAATGATAATCAGAGCTAATGAACTACTTTGGATTCTTTGACAAATACAAGCAACCCACGAATTGTTATAGACACGCAAGACAAATAGAAAAGACAAAATCAAGAGGGAAAAAAACAAAAGGAACATACCCCCTCAAAGGAACAGAGAAGAACAGAGCGAGGAATTATCTCTCCTCCCAAATGCTCCTTGGTAATCAGATTTAAGTCAGGAAGGGAAAAAATTCTGACACTTATATCAGTCCACATTCCAACTGCAGCTATGTGACTATGATTTGGATTTTCACCAATTGGATTTATGTCCAGGCATGAAATATCATACTCTAGCTGAGCATGCTTTACTTCAGTTAGCACTCCATCACCAATTTCCAAGAACACTAAATGACCACCACCAGTAGCCAATAAAACCTGTTAAGAGCAGGTACAACAATATTAACCAAACAATGATAAAAAGCAAATCAAATTGGATTATAAGAACCACAACTAACAAAAGATATTGAAAACTGAAAGAAAAACTATCAATAAATTCTTATCTCTACCATCTAAAAACATCTTGATCACGTCTCTACAATACCAACTTTCATAAGTAGTTCTTTCGTTCATTTATTTCTGAAATTCAAAAGCAGTCTCCTGAGAAACTTCTGATTCAACATCACAGAAAAAGAGCCATGTTTGATGCTGAGGCATATAACTACTAAGCTAAAGTTAACTTTCTCAACAAAATACATTTCCATCCTTGAAAGCTAAAATGACGAGTAAGATACATATACCAATCAAAATGCAGCTGAAGTTAGTATGCTCGCCAAACTCATGGCAGCATATATCTTGTCATCATAATAGTTCTCGAGATTTTATTTGTGTTCAGTATACGGCTTTGAAGATTGTGGCAAGGTAAAATAACCAAAAAGTTGGTGGCCATTCTTTCCCCTTGCTCTTTAGGTTAGGGGTGATGGTAAATTTGGGTATTCCTATGAGTATCTGCAAGTTGGGCACTTCTGAGATATGTCTTGAATGTCGAAGGAACTAGGCAAAAAGTCCTGCTATGGTTTCTCAAAGAGATCTATGAGCAGAATTATAAGCCAATGCCACCTCTCTATAAATTCTAAAAATTTACAGGGCTTTTGAAGTTGGCCTTGGAGATCAACCTAGACTGCTTGCCAATCCTTTCATCAGCTTCATCAGCTGTAGAGGGTATCAAAAGAGAATGAAGCTCATCCTCTTCATCATAAATGATCCACTTGCCCCTATATGGCCTGGACCATTAGGGATCCCAATTCATTGGGCCTTTCGATACAATCAAATAGAAAGTCCCAAGAGTGCCATATTCTAGGAGCCCAAACTATGTAATTGAATAAATCCTCCTCTATCTATTGCGGGTCAAGGACTCCTTCCCCCTCCCCCTCTTCAAACTTTGATTATAGAGAAATCTCTGGCCAAGGATAGAACAAGATCCACTCTGCATCATATCGAAGGGATTCTTTCGTTCGGGCCAAAGAAGCAATGTCACTTGATCATTATCAAACTGACTGCAATCTTTTTCTGTCCGTGAATATCCCACCAGAGCGCCTTCTACTTCTAATAGGCCATGAACTAGATCCGAATTGTTCTCAATGAGTCCATAAGAAGTGATCCCATTTTTTTCATCAACCTTAGGTGGAGGGAGGGAAAGATAGGTGTTTTATTGATTAGTCTAGCTCAAATGCAAGGTTTAACAGTTTATAGACTGGTGGTAGTGCATCTGCAGAGCCTGCAAAAGCGGTTGATACTACAGTTATTGGCTAATTAATGTCTCAACGTTTATTTTTATACCGAGGAATTGTTTCACGAAGTGATATGCATCAAGCTATCAAATGAATGCTAGAGTTCAATCATGGAATCATCAAATTTGATCATCAAAAAGACAAATTAAACAAACAAGGTTGGTTCTCAGCTATTTACATTTTCCAACTAATATTTACTTTTGCAGATTCAGTAGATTTAGATTCCTTTATGACCGTATGCACACAATAAAATTAAAAAGAATCTCTTGTGGTTCCTAACTTTAAAAGATAGGATGCACCATTAAGAATACTTACTATCTTTTCCAATGCCCACATGTTCTACCTGAACAACAAGCTAATCCTAAAACTTGACAACTGGAACTCTAGCCTCTCTATCAAGGATCACAGAAGTATCAAGCGAGAGTTATGATCTAAAGTGCAAACAAGAAAAGGTGTCCATGTTCAACCTGAGTGGCATTAGCGGTTGCAACATTCACTGAGAATCCAGCAGGAGCAAACCATTCATGTCGCAATTCTCTAGAGGTGGAGCTCACCAATCTTACTGAAATCGAAGTCACCTGCAACATTCACCAAAAGAATTGAACATCTCAAAACCATATCAGACCCACTATATAATTCAAATCCAAAGAGACCCAACAATGACTGAGGAGACTCTTCATGAAACCCACTATACATAATGCTGTCCATACCCCCTGCACCCCCTGGCGGGTGGGCACATGGTAGAAAATTAATCGTGCTGACAAGACAGAAACATATGCAAACTGCCCCAACATTTGCACGAAGAATGGGATGACTTCAGCATGGACATGATAGTAATGAAGTTTTACTACAGTCACTTCTCTGGTTCTGTGAGACATTCATAAAGCATGATAGTACAAACATGAAATCAACATTCTGAAAACAGTTATACTGAAAGATATTGAGTTCTATCAACCAAGAATCTAATTAAAAAGCATTGTACAGCTGGAAAGATGATATAGGGCAGTGTCATACCTGCACAAGTTGATTGAATACAGCATCATGGCAAAACAAAGTCTGAGCTTCAGAACAAAAACCTTCTATCTCAGTTTCCTCCAACTCATCCTCAAGATTCATTGCCAAAATACGTGTCTCACTAATAAAGCTGACAACAAGGAAAGTGTCATAAGGATCATCAGTAGCTGACCTCAGTGACCACATTCCTTTGATGCCTTGGAGTTCCACAGATGCCTACAAGTGAAAAAAGATGTACCACAGCTTTAACAAAACAACAAAATGATATCCCTCAGGGATTCAAGTTTATTTAGACATGCCAAACCTGTTCATTAATTCCAATGCCATTTCGAACTATTCGAAGGGAACCATCTTTGTAGGCTCCTGAGCAAGTTACAACCTGGCCCTGACCTTGCCTCTCTAAATCAACCACACAGAAGTCGACAATTGGCCCCAAGTTGACATATCTTTCTAAAACTTCTACATAAGAACCTTTTGGATCAGGCTGAAGATTTAGCTTTATGAGCTGAATTGAAATCACACAACTTCATGTCAGGTTCATCTCCATAAATAAGGAAAAATTTGTGAAACTCAGGACAAGAGATTCTAAAAAGATGAGTCCCAAGGGCCAATTGCTGTTCATGGGCATATACATTAGAGACAACATATACAATAGCAACTAACTAAGCTAACATGAAGATGAAGTCGATTAATATGACACAAGATTATTATTCATATCAACTTTCTATACCAAGGAATTGAAAGACTTACTTTGACTGGTATACTTTCTTACCAAATAAAATGCAAAAGGAAAACTTACTTTTTTTTCTTGGACTATGTTAACCTTTCACAGGAACCAAAAATACGTGTTTGACTTCCATAGACACAGAAACATTTTGAAAAAGTTGAAGAATACAGCAAGCAAGAACTTGGAGAGGAAAAACCTGTGGTTGCATAAAAAATCAAAGGCTATAAACTAGAGTACTGCACAGTTCATTTTCCTTCTATCAAATTCATGGAGTAAGTACGTTCAATTGATTATATTCCCTAGAACAATGCAAGAATTTTATCCAGTTTTTCAAACTTCCGAGTGAAAATCCGCATGAGAAGCATACCTGTGAATCTCCATAGCTTGACCCAATGTATACAAAGGCATTGTCAAGATATGAGATTGTTGATGCAATAGAAGTTTCCCCCAGCAGCTCAATTTTGAGTCCAGTAACTCTATTTACAGATGAACAATAGAAATCCTTCAGACAACTAAAATGGATATTCAGCACAAGGAGAAAGCCTCTCATTCCACAAATGAGCTAACACCCAGATATCATTTGCTAATCAAGTGCTAAAAACGAAAGACTGGATGGAAGGATAACACTCACTTCTCTTTCTCATGATTTATCACCAAGAGGTGGAGTAGACCATTATGATCTCCAAGTAGGTATCGAGAACCATCAGCATCAACCCTTCCATAGGCTCTTGTAATTGACTTGAGAAAAATAACCAAAAAAATTAAAACTAAGAACTGAAAATGTAATTGTGATTAGTGAATGGTAAAGATTTGGAAAAACACTCTGTGTCTTTTGTTTCATCCCCTAGGAAGGGTTTCTGCAGGATAGAAAGCATGATATGATTAAGCAGTTAGTGTTGACAACTCACAGGTCTAATAGGGATTGCTTTAAAAGCAGTGGCACTACAATACACTATAGTTTCTTCACCAATAATTAGAACCCCACAAAGAGGAGGAGGTACAGGTATTAGCAAATCAGCTCCATTATCGAGATTGTTCTGAGACCATGGTCCCTCAACAAAATCTTTATCCTTCAAAGCCACTTCGTAAGTTTTGATATGACGAGCATCCTTATTATCCTGCCAATAATATCAGGACAAACACCAAGTTTAAACATCTAAAGCACATAATTATACTTACAATAGAAAATATTATGAGACTCCACAACATGCATAGATAGAGAGACAGAGAGAGAGAGAGAGAGATGAGGGCAGACATCTGAATCTTGGACTATAACTGAAAGAACTTCCATTAGCAGTTTGTATGGTTTCATGAAAGGCCAGATATAACACATTGCTGGCACATGCATCAAATATTAATCAACCAAATTATGAAAATCATACTATATACACAGAAAAAACAGAAAATCATATGATTATAGGTAATCAAGCGAGAAAAATTCGTCTCTTTATGGCACAAAGACTACAAAACTTGCATAGAGAAGTTTTGGGTGCATTGAGAATAGCAATGAGAAATTTGTTGCAAAAGCAAAAACAAAACCTGGTACAGAACAACTATCGTAGGCTTTGCGCAACCGTAAAGAAATTTGATATCCAAAACTTGAAGCTCTTCAAGCCTGGAAGCCATAAAAAACAAAATAAAAAAGAAAAAAAAAAGCCAGTTTAGGGACACGAATTAGTGCATGCTATGATTAATTGGCTATGTATTAAGAAACAAACAGGAACCACTGAACAACACAATACATGATTTATCAAATGTATACGTATACTTGCAGCACTTCAACTGACTAGTATTTAGTTTCACAGGTAAGTTAACTAACACAAATAGAGGAATACAGGAACATCAAGTAAGCTATAACTGGCTTTAAACAAAAACAGTATCACTTTGGTTAAAAACATTGATAGAGTGCCAAATATGTGGCAACACAAGGGCAGATTTTGCAATCTAAAATTACGCCTATTCTTTCTAAAACGTCGATTACATTATGAAATTATTCACATTCTTGACAGGGTCCCATATCCCTATATTGGTACTCATTGCCAAACACATCAGAATCTTGATACGACAGAGATTTCATCCTGCTGCATCTAAGGTAAATGGGTTCAAGAAAGTCAAGTCAAAAATCTCTGGCAACTATTCCATCTCACATGGGATATCTCCTCAGCCCATCATGTAGTAATGAGTGCAAAGTGCGAGGTCAACCAATTAAACAACAACATAACATATGCAATCATCAAGCAGAAATGCATGCTTGAAAAAGTCAACTGTCATAGAAACTTTCGAATCATAGTAGCAATTATCTTCCATCAACTGAATTTCAAGAGATAAATCTAAAGGTTATCAAGATTCTAGCAAAACCTAATTCATAGAAAAATGTTTTTGCACCAAGCAGACTATCCTCTGAGAATAACACTTGGCATCCAAAGGAAAATATGAACAATACTAAAACTCAGACGGATGCAAGATTAAAACTACCCAATAACTCCACTCTTTAAAGACAATACTTACAAGCGAGACCCTGCAAGTATCTCCACATCTGTTTATACAAGTCACTCGTTTAAGAGATCTGTTAATAATAATCATAGAACTAGGGGCAAAAAATGTCCAACTCCAAAAGGCATTTCTTTTGACCTTTTGATATAAGAAAAAAAATTTAATCAATATCCACCAAGAAGGTGTTACATATGCACATTGGCACACTCAAAAAACACCATATCCAATTAGGAGACTATTTTGATTTATTTGCCACTTAGACTACATTTTCACCACAAGTCAACTGAGAAGCACGATATTCTCTTTCCATTACCCAGTGCTGGTTTCTTATTTGTTTTTCTAGTTTGCTAGTACGAGTTTTCCTCTTTTATCTTCAGGGAAGGACTAAAACTATTATGCAAACTTGGCTCTGAAAAACTTTTGAGCATCTTCTTGGTTACTCCAAAGAAGAAGAAAAGTAACATCACCCAAGGAGAAGCAAAGTTCCTCCAGTATCTCCTACAAGTAAAAGGGCACCATGAACAATTTCAGACAAAAATCTGGGATCACCCAGTAGCTTGCCATGTTTGAAAAATCTGTATTACTAGTTATGATATCCATAACCAGAAAAAAGCTAAGAAAGTTAGATCAATCACGGTGCAGAAATTATCACAGCTAGTCTATTATCAACCAACTCCATATACGTAAGTCTGACATCTAGAAATAGTAAAGAAAATTGGAGAATACCTTATATTAAATGCTTCCTTGAGTTGGCCTTTGTTATCAAATGGAATAACCTGGCAACAAATAAAACAGTTGCCTACTACATCAGAGATCAAGATAGTGACGGCATCCATTTGAGTAATAAGAGTACCAAACAAGAGATAGAAATAAATCACTGGGAAGTATTATAATAATAAATTAGTGCACTATTCAAGATTACCTTAAATAATCCATCATACAAATGAAGCCCAATCAATCTGCAATCTGGGTCAATTATGCCGATCTGCAAAAACAAGATAACAATTCACATCAGAATTGGAAGCTTTCCCCAAATATATATATGAAGACAGCTTCAAGTGCAAGTGAACTACTTTATGGGCAAGTAGTAGAGTACCTGACCATTGTCAGTGGGACGGCCTATTCGATCAGAAACATCCCCCATCGCTCTATTAAAACATCAGTCATTATGATTATATTACAGCACAACAGAACATGAGATATGATAGGATGCATTTGACTATGAAGTGTTACTTCTCAAGGAATCAAAATTATTGCTATTCAAAATCGACATTTCATGTGGAGAATTCCTATAAGAATTACATATTCTTTTGTTTAGATCAGATTATCAAGCACAGAAATAACAGAGATATTAATGATACAACCAAATTTAGCTATCTGACCTAGTAACTACTTCAGCAGCCTCAGGATCCCATTGAAGAACACAAAATTTATATCTTTCTGTTGCTATGAACAGAAGATCATGTGTTTCACCCTGTCAGTGCAAGAAGACAATACATGTAAGATTGATACACGTTTGACTTACATAAATGCTTAACAAAATTCAAGTCAAAAACTCACATGTGGTCGAAACAGCTCAAGTGTTGCAATTCTGCCATATACTGGCACATCCAACATAGGCTGCAGATAGACAAAATTAAACTCAGTTCCACCAAAATTTCCTAGGATTCTGAAGATTTTTAAATCACAAATTACAAAGCACATAACGCAAAATACCACATTGACAAACAACCGTCATATCTACTTACAGAAAATTTACTACGTAATCAAGTACCAGGGTCCAAATTTGCGGCAATCTCCCCACATCTATGCTCCCAAATTTGATGAATCATAAACCTAAATATACACCTAAACCTATACTTGTACCCATATTTTCTGAGTGTCGTTCTTTCGATAATTAATGCACATAAATATTGTAAATGTACATAAACATACAATTCCATGAGATTCTAGGTGATGCTAAATTTTTTAAATAACTCATTGTAGGCCTCTTAAATTGTCAGGGAAGCACAGCAGACTTGTGTTACCTTTCTGAAAGGATTCATTATGAATTTTTAACATTTAATGAAAGAGATGCTATACAAGGAAGAAGGTTAACTTCTTCACAAACACAAATATGTAACAACTTGTAAATCTCATAAAAATAAAAATAAAAAACCCCACCTGTAAACCTTGAGGAGTGAGCAAATGAATCTCGATTCTTGTGCATTTCCTGAGAACATGTGGTAACATAAATAAAGTATTTGAGCAACAAATAACAAAAAGAAACATGGATCCCACTACTTAAAGACTTTCAACTGACTATTACTGGATAGGAGAGTACACTCAATTGGTTCAAAAATAATCCCGTTCAAAAGTCAGAACAAATGCCCAAATAATGTATAGCCCAAAGTTAAGCCATTTTCTGATTTTGACCATCAAGCACACACGCTTTTTCACAAATTTTCACGTACCAATTCACAATTCACCTGTATGCCGAATTAAAAAGAATTGACTGAAAACAAGCAAAAATGCAAACTTACAAATCAAAGAAAAAAAAATCCCGACCAACAACAAAATTTTAGGTAGGAAAAGAATCATAATTATAACGTCTCTTCACTTATACAATTAAAATGCCATAATTCAAGTATGAGAAATTTAAAAAAAAAATCTGCAGAAACACAAAACAGCTAAAAATAAATAGGAGTCAATAAACTAACGAAAAATTCTTCATTTCTTTAATTACTGGGAAAAAATAGAGGCATAAAAAAGCTTACGCAATTATGAGATTGAGCTCCTGAGGACCGGTGAAATTGCCGACGCACGAGTGCGTTACATTGGTCGGCTTGTGCGCCGTCACCACATAGTTCCATATACTCATCTCTCTATCTCTCTATATCTCTCGCGCTGGAGATTTCCACTTTTCTTCTTAGTCTTCTTCTTTTTACTTTCTTAATCCAAAACCCTAACTTAATTCCTGCCCACTCTTTCTCTCTCTGGTATTTTATTATTATTAGATGTACAAAATTACAAATGGGAGTAACTATTCACTTTCCAGTGTGCGTAGTCATAGACTGAAGGTTTTCGTCTGGAGAGGTGAAAACGAAAGTAAATAAGGTGGGTGCTGATTTTATTATTTAGTAACATCTGAGGTCGCTGATGGCGGATTAGGGAGAAAAGGAAAAGATGAACAAGTTTCTAGACCACACCCCGATAAAACGACACCGTTATGAAGAAATTTTGTCCATCTTTTAAAAAAAATAAAAAAATTTGCCGGGGTCATGTGGAGGGGGTGGTTTGGGAAGCCACAAGTTTCAGAATCGTCAGAGAGCTTATGCAAATGGCGGCTAACATTGTTTTGAAAATCGGATTAGACTGGTCAGTTCAATCGATCAGACTAGGAATCGATCATAACTCCGCTTCGATTCATATCTCGGGTTGATTGGAGTTAAAAATCGATAAAAATCGTTTGAACTCGGTGATTTTTGTATTTTTGCCTATTAAATTAATATATATATATAAAAGAATAGATTTTCCTTAACCTTAAAAACTAATTATTAAATGTCACATCCACTCACTTTCTTCACAGTTTTTGCCTCTTATCAAGTTTGCATTTCTATTTTCTATTTTCCTGATTTCCTCCAAACTCCAACTTCTTTTTTTTTAAGTTGCAATCTTTAAATCCCAAAAACTTGAATTAAAAATTTTAATTCACAATGTCTAATTCCCATGGATGCGAATTTTGTATAATTTTATAATATTGTGGTATTTTTGGGTTGGATTTAAGATTATTTTTTGGTAGATACAATTGAGATTGAAATAAAATTTTTTTATTGCAACTTATAATTTAAATTTTTTATTTGTGAAAATCCAAGTCCTTTGAAAATATTAAACTTTTCATCATATAAAGTGTTAAATTAGTCCATTGTATGTCTTATTTTATACATATATATATATTTATATAAATTATTTTTAAAAAAATTATTGAACTGGGGTTAAATCGGTCCAACCGGTTGAATTTCGACCCGAATACCTCACCGATTCAATTAATGGTCCGAGTTACAAAACATTGGAGGCAATCAATAGGGGCTTAGACAAACATTCGATCTCGAGTTCGATTAACTTCTTCAGTATCTTAAGAGAGCTTATGCCAATGGCGGCAATCAGTAAGGATGTAAACAAATACTCAATCTCGAGTTCGATTAACTTCTTTACCTATGCTTGGGATTAACTCGAGATAATATAGGAGTTTAATTTCGGCTGGATCTCACCCATAATAACCTAAACTAGGTTGAGCTTGATTTGAAACTTGAGCTCAAGTTCCATACATATAGGATTTTATTGGATCCTAGGAGGAGAACACCGCGCAAATGTGCGGTGTGGATTTCACATATGCCTAGAAAATGCCCAGATATTTAAATAGATATAGTATGTGCTATAGTCAAATATAATAAATTGTATATGTGATTATGTGCTTAAAATTTTACTGAGCAGCTGAAATAATCAAAGTACGTAGTAAGGAAATGTGCGTAGATAAAAGTTTCAGCATAAGATAAAGTAGGAAAAAAATTGGATAGGAAATGGGTCGAGGCAACAGATAATAAAGATAATCAAAAATTTTCATCTTTACAAGTATCAGAAGCAAGACACACAAAAAAGGAGAAACATGGCTAGTACACTTGTTAGGAAAATAGAATGAATGAGAAGATAGGCAACAAGCTGGCTATCCCTAATTTTCTTTGACAATTTGCAAATTGAGTATATTATGGTGCATAGGAGCTTGATTCAGCATCATGAAATACTGTGCTGGTATATAAGGAAAGAAGGCTACATGAATTCATTAGAACTCTAACCATCCGAATAAACATGAAAGGTGTAATACCACGAAAATATTTTCTCAACTCCGTTATCATCAAAGATTAAAACTGTAAAGATTGTCTTTGATTTGGGAATAAATACAATGATTTCATTATGTTGCAATACATGCTCAAGGATGAAACTTCTCCAATTCTTTTGAGCTTTTTTCCTTTGACACCAATTTTGGTAGCTTTGTTTCCTGTCTTGATGAGAAGAGTTGGAGTCACGTCACCATTGACGTAGTGATTGACAAACCTTGGAATTTTTTGCTAATGATTAATGAAAGTTAGATTGTAGAAGTGAAAACATAGATTCAGTTAAAAGAAATGGAACAATAATGGCAAAAAAAGGTAGTGTAAGTTAGCTTGCTAATGCGCTGGGAGTAGTTGAAGAAAAAATCTGATAAAAGCAAACTGAATCAGTTAGATTTTGGATTAAATTTGATTTCATTGATGAAGCTACGTGCTATTGGATAACCATCGACTGCAGACAAGCTGCACTTATTCAGCAGATAGTGTATTAAGAATAAGAAGAGCACAAATGGATACATAGAGTAAAATGAAGCATATACTGGTCTTGTCTCTGTTCAACACCAGCCTACAATAGATCTAGCAATAGAACTGTCCAATGTAAGTAAACTTGCTTATGAAACTCACAAAAATGGATGACATCAAAGATGAGATTGCCACTATGTCAAAGTAACAACATATCATGTTTCTTAGTGATATTTTCATGGCAGTATTCATCCCATCCTTCTGCAAATGAATGATCAGCGACTGTGATAAGCCATCTATAGGTTCCATATCTGAGAATGATTGTATTGCATTGGTGTCAACTAAGCAATAGTTCAAACTCGGAAGGCAAAATCTTAGGTTAAGGAATAAAATAAGTAATGTTAAATGCAATCGCAAGACTTAAAATCTAAGTTTTTGAAATAAGATAAGCAAAGATAAATGATTGCATGTTAGTATATTATATATCACTACATTAGTTATTGAGGTTACATGAAATGCAAAGATATACCTGTCCTTTGTGATTACATTTTAATATAAAACAGTAGGCCATGAATCTGCTGTCTGTTAAATGAGGGGTGGTTAAATTTTCTAGCATTAAACTGAGAACAGAAGATCAAAAAAAGAAAATTGATGTAATAAGAAGAATATATGTCCATAAATCCTGTTAGATTTTGTAAAACAAATGAAAATTGAAAGAATGAAAGTTACCTGCCTACAGTGATGCAGCTCATGATTATTTTCTTAACACTGAATATTTCTTAGTTGAGATAGCAAATTTATTCAACAACGGAGTGTTTATATATAAAGAATGCGTGGCTGATAGGTGAACCTTTTTAACATTTATTTTGCTTCAGTCTAGTCTTCTATCTATTATTATTATGCCAACTAGGGTTGCAAACAAATCAAACTACTCACGAGTAGTTCCAGTCAAAACTTGACTTAAAGTGCTTTCACGTAATTTATCAGAACTATCAAGCTTTTTTGCTAATTCTTCATCTGTGTCAAAAAAATACAACTAAATTCCGAATAGCTGATTGCCTCTATGGATTAGACCATTAAGAAAATGTTTAACTTAACCTTGAACATGAAATGTATAAACACCCTTCGAGTTTTTTGTTAGTTCAGTCATATTTTGCAGCGAATGATGTAAAACCTAAGTTATTGTTGTAAGTTCAAACATTATTCCTTAAATGAGCACTTTCTTCATCATTATCAGTAAATAAGGGCTTCAGATTACAAGGCATTGGAGTAGCAACAATGGAAATTTCTCCTACAGAGTAGTAGAAATTGGGAGGGACAAAGTGGAACCTCTTGGCTCCACAATGCTCACAATTAGGAGCATTAGGAAGAACCACATATGCATTATGAATCCTATCAAGTTGAGAAAGATTAGGACGGCAATCTCTATCTCTATTTCTTTCCTGTAGCTATTTTGCACATGGCGCCCAGGTCTTTTGGCTCAAATTTCTAAAAAAATAAATATAAATGTATCCTGAAAATCAATAAATTCAAACGAAGATCATATTCTAACCTAAAGTGAGCTTTCTCATATGGTTAAAGACACAATGTCTTTCTTACATGAACGACAGGCATTAGACAAAATATCACGAGAATTTCTCTTTTTTTTTTACCCCCCTCGACAACTAGGTTTTGTGTTAGAGCTTCCATAGATTACAAAACTGAATAAGATAGATGAAATGGCTCAATTTTGTTCTATAGATACACACATAAAGGACAATTAAAAGCAAAATGGTGGTAGAGGACAAGAATATTTTTCCATTATCGAGTGATTAAAACTCCCAGAATGTCCACCAATGATTGATTCATGCATGATAGAAATAAGTTGTTGCCTAAGATCAGTTGTAGAACCAATCAATATCCTGCCATTGAATCTGATCACTCCCTGGTTGTAAGAGTATTCCTGAAGTATGAGATCTTTAGAAGTTAGAGCAATCAATAAATCTTTGGTCCATTCATCCTCATTGTAACTCTCAGTAACTTTAGAAAGCCACAGAAGTTTCTTAGTAGAAATGGCCTAGATCTGAGCCATTCCTCCTTTAGAATTCCCATCTGTATCATCACCTTTTCTGGCCAAAGCATCAGCTACCAAATTCTCTTTTCCTCTTTTATACTGTATTTCATAATCCAGCTCCATCAGCTTAGCCCACCACTTTTGTTGTAACGTTGTGGTTACTTTCTGCTCCAACAAATATTTTAAGCTTTCATGATCTATTTTGATAATGAAATGAGATCCTAACAAGCAATGCCTCCACTTACTGACCGCTGAAATGAGTGCCAATAATTCTTTTTCATAAATGGATAGTGATTGATTCTTCTAGCCCAATACTTAGCTCATATAAGCCAAAGGTCTTCCTTGTTGCATCAATACTGCACCCATGGCTTCTTTACTAGCATCAGTTTCTAATTGAAATGGTTGGGAAAAATCAGGCAGAGCCAATATAGGTGTGCTGCTCATAGCATTCTTAAGCTGTTGGAATGCTAAGTTGGCTACTTCATCCTATTCAAATTTATTTTTCTTCAAAAGATCTATAAAGGGCCTGTTTATACTACCATATCCTTTCACAAAATGTCTATAATACCCAGTGAGGCCTAAAAAACCTCTTAGAGCTTTAGCATTGAGAGGAGTCGGCCAGGACAACAAAGCCTCAACCTTTGCCGGATCAACAGAAATACCCTTGCCAGTGACTATATGTCCCAGATATTCTACTTGATTTTGACCAAAAGAGCATTTGGATTTTTTGGCAAATA